CCTTACCTTGGACTCTCTTGAGCGCTTGTCAAGTCGCGTCCTCGAGATGAAGCAGAAACGCTGTGACTTGTTGAAGGCGCGTTTGAGCTAGAAAGACTTACAGTTGTCGAGCTTGGATGAGATGAATAGCTCGAACTACGTGAAGAATATGCTGATGGCGCAGATGAATCCGGTCGTCGGGTATAATCAGTTGATCGGCCACTGCCGGCAGAATACCCTGCCGCCCTGCTGCTGTAGTAAGGAACACTAGAACGATACATCTCACAGGTTAACCACAATGCTCAATCAACAAAACTACGGAGACCTTATGAGTCCTGAAGCCTTAACAGTTCTGCGATATTTTTTAAGGATAGCGGTGGGAATTTCAAGAAACGAAAACGATATCATTGCGTTTGGTGGTTGCGCCAATCAGATATCGAGGAGTTGTTTATCACAGGATAATGATCATGTACTTAGAAAAGCCTGTTTTCGCGCGGTTCTATCAAGAGTTGCACTGAACTAGCGTGTCACTCCTTTTTAATCCCACTTAGAATATTGCCACTTTATATAAGGCACAAAGAGTAGGAACTCTGGCATTTTTACACACGGATAGATGAAATTGTTTTACTCTGAGTCAACCCTTGACCAAACAGAAGTGTTTTCCAACCGACAAAAAGTCCTCAAGTCATTGAAAAATCCTTCCTTGACCGATAAAAATTCCTCTAACAATAAACTAATTTAACTCTCGAAAAATGGTGGCAGGGTTTTATTAGCCTGGGTCGCAGAGGCTAACATACCGCCGCTTAATACTTCACAACGAAATTTCTTTGGCGTCTGCTACGTAGGCTAGCCTTCGCCGGCTGAAATAAACCTTGAACCCTAAGATCAAAATAATCGCGACTTTTTTCTGGTGTGTCTTGAATCTCTAGATGTTATTTTTACTATGCCATGCATGCATGGTCACCGACCAATGCAAGCATAAGTTACATCTGTGGCAACCACACTAAAGAGAAGTCATGATATACCAGTTAGGGTTTAGCCGGCGCGAAAGTCACTCGATAGTCGGACGCAGCGGCTCCTAAATGACCTCTTTTTCCAAACCCAAAGTCAATTTTCTGGCAAACACACCCTTTTTTAAGCGGCCACTTGTCTATTTAGTGCAAGAGAAGATGAAGGGTAGGTCAAGCTTCATTCCTCTTGGTGCGAGCGTGACAGCAGTAATATAGCTGTTTCAGTATTTCATGATCAGTAATCAAACATGTCGGAAAAAGAAACAAAATGCAGCTTAACATTTGGCCATATTTGGGGGGAAAATATCAGAAAACAGTTATGGAGAATTACTTTCGTTTTTACGAATTTTGAGATAAACTGATGTTTTGTAACCGGCGACTCGAGTTACATGAGTAGTAGTATAGCCGCCAAATTACCACCGCTGACGCCAACTTTGGCCGCCAATAAAAATTCGAGAAAACGTGATGTCACCGTGACGTCACCAGGTGGGTCAGGCGGTCAAACTGGTGGGTGGGTGGCATAGGTTGGGTTAAGTGGGCGGCAAATGAATATATTCAAGATGGCCGCCAATAAAAGTTCGAGAAATCGTGACGTCACGGCCTCCACCCAAGGTGATGAAAAAAGGCCAAGTTTTTCGGGTGGTACTAAAAACCAGGAAAAATTGGATTCGATGACGTCACGAGGTTGCGGTTAGATCGGTCTAGAGGTTAGGGTTTAGTCCTCATCGGTCTTAGGGTTAGGCGTAGGCTAAGGCTTAGGCCTAGGGGCTTAAATACCCCTGCTCGCTTGGGGTATGGGCCCTTAAATACCCCCTGCTCCCTCGGGAGTATGGGGCTTTAATGCCCCCTACTCGCTCGGGGGTATGGGGACTGACTTCACGCACAGAAGTCTGTATTAAAAACAGCCCCTGTGAATTTCTTCTTTTAGATTGATGACTAGCCGTTCCGAAAGATGACTTCATGCGGTTTATGCCAGAAAAAACAGCCGGAACAGTTTGTGGCTTCCAGCAATGGAGCAGAATACGTGAGGTGTTCCAATCGTTCGTGCGGTTATTTCTGTTCGCTGGCGGATTTGTCATCGTACGAGAGAGCAGTGCAGTTGGAGGTGTCCGGCGCGTTTACGGGGAAAGATGCTCCGCTCTGTCAACACAAGAAACCTAGCGCCTTGAGGGCCGGTCACATTCAGAGAAGAATCCTGGCAGGCCTTACTTTACCTGTAAGGAGCGTTGGCCCTGCACCTTTTTATGCTGGGCAGATTTGGAACTGACTCTCCGTTGTGCGACTCTACCCCCAGCGGACGAGTGAAAAATAGAGCGGTCACTGGCTCTGCGAACATGGTCATTTTCAGTGGTTGACCACTTGACCATGATTGTTGGGTAAAATGTCATGACAAACCCAACCCTCTTGTGAGGATCAATGGAGTAGCCCACTGCGAAGAGAAGTCGAGCGATACTGGACAGCACTACCAGCAGAGGAACCAAGTGCATGTTCTCCTCAGAAAGATAAGTGGACAAGGTGACGAGACTGAACGAGTGAAGCAGGAATTGTTCAACGGTGTTCTGTAGATACTTCGAACGTATTCCCACGTACTTAGTGCCGCTTTGGTTCAACGGATTGATCGCAGAGGTTCTGAATCGCGTGTTTGCGACCCAGATGATCCCAGCGAAGACCGTGGACAGCGAAGCTATCAACCATCGAAGCGTGAACACAAGTCTGTCGAGCAAAGTCGGAAGGCGCGGTTTTGGGAACGGGTAATAAGCAGCGATCACAGCGAAACAAAACAGCATAACACAGCCACAAAAGATGTTGGTTAGCACTATTTTCTGATCCTTTCTATCCTTTTTCTGTTGGTCTGTTTCGGTCGCCATCTTTTACAGTGAACCAATAACATCAAATGATATTTGCAGCCGTGCGTGACCTAATGAACAAAGTGTTCATACTACTTTCCCACAGAGGGAAACCGGGGGATAACGGAGGGGGGGGGGNCGAAACCGGAAACCGGAAGCCAGAAACCGGACTCCGGAATCCACAAGTCAAGAAAAACAACTTCTTCAAATACGCGAAAGTTATTTTGCATACCTTTTGCCTGTAGAAAATAAGAGGCCTAGTAAAAGATACCTCAAACTTGTCCCTGTCTGTAGAAATTCGTGCAACTGTTATTCCTAGTGAGGGCTATGATTATGAGAATCTAAATAAAGTGCGTCGTAATATGATTTCAATCACCCTGAGAGCCTCTAAAATAAGCTTGCTGGTAATTGCCATTTTGTTTAATAAGAGATCTGCAATTTACCGATTTACCGGAGGTATAAATTTAGCCTTTATGTCTAGTAGATAATGAACAAGGTAGAAAATGTCATAGAGAACAGGGTCTCCGTCAGTGGCAGCCCTATGTACATTGACGGTCACGCCCCCCACTTTCGATGTCCAAAGGCTAACCTGGTTCGTCTAAACAAATTTGTTTTTCCCAACAGATATTCTCGACTAGACTAGATATTCTTGCCGGCCATCTTATCAAAACAATTTATAGAAACGTTGCACACTTGCTTCCGTCTGCTTCTCGCTTGCAAACGGATCAGACCACATGTTGATAAAAGATGCTAAAAGACTGGCAGAAACTCACCTCAATAGCTTGTTGCTATTGCGCTACTCACCAGTCTTCGCAGAGCAATTTTGATCAATGCAAGAACTCTTACCAGGGCCAGGTTGAACAAAAAGATGGGTAACTTAGCCTGCGTGCCAGTGGACAGGCTCTTGTGTTTGGGTTGCGGGCGCGAGATGCGAAGCCGCGAGAAGGCACTCGCTCACGTGCCAACGCAGATAGGACACTAGACACTAGAGCCTGCTCAGCCGGCCACTAGAGACAGATACTAGAGCCTGCTCGCAGGTTATGGGAATTTCTATCCACCCGAAAAATCACTAACCCTGACTGGATAGTGATTTACACAATGGATAGCTTCATCCAGTTTTTGAACAACCGGGCCAGATGTACAGCTAAGGGTTGTTCAGACCTAGTCAAGATTTTTTTAACAATTACAATTTGTGGTTGAAGTAAAGCAAAGAAAATAAGTAACAACAAAATAATTTTTCCTATATTTATTTGTTAGACATTCATAATATCTGGTTTCCGGTTCCGGATTCCGGATTCCGTGTTTTAGGGTTGCACCACAAAATGTTCAAAAGTTGTACTTCTATGTCCAGGTGCTATATGTATGTGTGATTCGCTCCTATGGTTGAAGGTGCTACTCAGTGGGAAGATTAGCCCACCAGGGATCAAAGGTGTCAGATTTATTTGCACTATACACGGTTCGTTGCGTCCGTGGTTACATCGTAGTCAACTGAAATTGAAATAATTGCGAGATAAATTACTATTTATAACATTCTCAGTTGAAGCGACAAAAGATTTCGAAACTTACGATTTGTGTTCCTGAGTCGTTAGATCCCTTTGATTCGCTATCTTGATGCTTACGCTTACGACGGTTGATGACTTGGCACCCCCGGGGGGGGGGGGTAACTCCCTTATATGGGCTATATAGGTATGTGCAGCCCCAAAGGGTAGGGTTTTTCCGCCGTTTTGGTCATGAATAGAGTATTGATTTTGGCCATTTTGGTCTTAATAGGGTATGGTTTTGTACTCTAGTCTTGAATTGGGTATGCTGTTTAGAAAAAGCTACTTTTTCATCATTATCGATAAGACCATAAGCAAAAGCCCCTCAAGACTTATGTTTAGGGCAACTGTATCAGCCGCAACTGTCATAAACAGGGAATCGAATTTTGGGTCAGGTCTTAAATAGGGTAGGGAAAATCGCAGATTTTGGTCATAATTAAATAGGGTAAGGGTTTTGGGAAGTGGGCCGCACACCCCCACCAAATTTTCTAGGAGTACCTCCCGCAGGGATAGGCTTTTGTACATTATGCTTCTATTTCCCCACTAAAATGCTCCACCTTAATGCTCCATTTTTTCCACTAAACTGCTCGGTCTTCCCCCAAAAAGTCACTATAAAATGCTTAGTTAAAGTGGTATGGTACCCTCAATATGGACCAAAAAGTTTGTTTAAATATGGTGAAGAAAGATCAATTGTGTGCTATTGCACTCAAGAAGAGAAATTAAATTT